TTATTTATTTTATATTAGTTCGATATGTTAAGAAAATGAATACACATATCACACCAATCAATACATTAATACGTGCACGACGAGAATTAAAAATGATTCGACGTACAGTTATACTTATAACGATTGTTGTTACCGTTTGTTTTCCTTATCAATTATTTTTTATAATGTCACTCTTCAATAGAAAACCAAAATATAATTTTCGAATTGCTTATGTATTTGGTGATATATCAATATTATGTGTAATCATTACTGTGTTTATATTTACAGATCGTTTGAAAGCATCTGTCAAGAACATAATAACTAGGCCGACAAGTATAATCACACCAGCGGTAACATAAACAAAAGACTATATCATATTGAGACTTTAATGTTGTTGTGCTTTTGTTTTTATTGTAACATTGCATAAATATATTTTTAAGGCTTGAAAATAAATTTGCTTTCTGCGTATTCTTCCTCTCTCTCTCTGTGCTACTGAAAGTCAAGTCTTGGAGATGAGAGTGAGTTTTATATTAAAGAACACATCGATTTGTATATCTAGAACACAAATCAAAGTGCTATTCTAAATTTTTATATTTTTGAGGATGTGAGTCTGACTTTAAATGTAAATCATGTTTTGCTCATATTTACACCCACACTCATCAATCTTACTGAAATAGGAAATTAGAGAATAAACTAATATGCACTTATCGTGTAAGTTAAATTGGAAAAAAATATTAGACTCAATAATATTCTAATTTTCATATACATAACATGTAGAGTAAAAGACAGAAATTCTGAATTATAGTCGTTGAATAATGATTCACCATATGTCTCGAAAGTTAATATAATCGCAAGTTCATGTAAAGCATATAAATATCGATCTTTACATGAATCCTCAATAGTACGCATCGCACAAGCTGCTTCAAAATTCGTCGATTAAACATGATCATCCTTGTAGTTATTATTTAAACTAATTCGATGAAATATTTTGGGAACTGCTGGTTTTTATATTTGCCTTATTGTTTTATTATGAATATACTTTGCTGAATACTTTTATAATTTAATAGTCATTTGAACATTTATTTAAAGATGTTTATAACATTTTCTGTTCGAAGAAAAAACAGTTATTTTTATTTCGAGAACACTTGATAAATATAAACTGTGAAATTACATAAATAAAAATAAATCTAATTTTCATTTTGAAGATATTCATGATATACTCCACTTATTTCACTCTTATTAACTTTGAACAATTTTGTTATGATGAAAATACTATCTAACCTGTTCTATATTTTCAGGAAATCAATTCTTTTTTTTTGGTGAAGTTAAAATAAGAGACATTTTTATATATAAATATTAATGATTTTTTTTCATATTTTTACTCAAAATTATATTCTTCAAATAGGATGTGGCTATTAAATTCATTAAACATCTATCTACACTTACACTGGTATACATATTTATACAGAAGAAAATTTTATTTAATTGTGAATCTCATTTATAATATTATCCATTATATTTAACTAAAAGTGATTAGATTTGGTCACTATTTGATTAGGAGTGATTAAGATAATTAACGGATTTCTAATCAACTGTTTCCCCTTGATCAATACGTTGTTGCTGTTGTCGAGGAAGAATATATTGATTTTGATCAATAGGGACAAGTTGTTGATGATGATATGATTGATGTTCATTTGAATCTTGACCTGTTGTACGTGGTATATGTATATCTTTGAAAAACCATAAACTACGGAGTAGTTTGCGACATTCACTACGAAATGCTCGATCGGTCAAACAATAAAATACAAAATTGATCTAAAATTTTTCTTTTAGTAAAACGAATATTTTTGTTTCTTTTTACTTACTGCATGATTTAAAAACATTAATAGTGTTAAACAATCTTGAGTTATTCGCCAACGTTTTGTTGATTTAAATGATGGTAAATAATCAACTATTAATGGACGTATTGATATTGGTAATGTACAAACAACAAATGTAAACGATACAAGTAATAATAAATATGTTAATCGTATTCCAGTTGCACTTGTTGGATCAAATAAATTTTTTTGATTTATATTTTGTTCAGTCATTTCATTATTTGTTTGACTATATGGACGATCAGCTGAACTTGACTCTAAAAAAAGAATTTTTATTTTATTATTAGAATATCATCAAATGTGATATATATTTTTTCATGTGTATATAATAGAGATGGATGTGTGTAGATGAGTGTTTCTTTATAATTATTATGATATTCAGAAATTGAAAAGCATTCTGTATGCAAAAATCACTTCCGTTTGTACTTAATTTCTTTTTACAAATAATGAATGTGACTTAATGATATTTAATGGCGTTCTGGCCTGGAAAATATCTTACAATAAAGTAAATTAGGTAAAAACAAATGCCTAGAAACTATTTTCAATATGTAATAATTTGTTAAAGTAACAAAATTTCACGCTTAGAGTACAATTGACATTTATATATGAAATGCTCATAGTATTTAAATTAGAAGAAAACTAACCTGCAGAGCGACTTCGAAAAAGTTGTGTACGAATTGTTGATGAACTTTTATTTCTTTGAGGTATATCTTCTGCTGGAATATAATTCTCTGCTTGTAAATAATCTCGTCGTTTTCTAATTGCATGAAACATAACTATAATAATTAAAATATTAAATATAAGAATTAATATTGATGGTATAACACTATAAAAACATAAATCAATAAATGATAATAATTTTCGATGATGAACTGTATCACAAATAAGTTGGTCTGGATGATAACCTTCATCAGTTTGTAAATCAACATGAAGTATATCAACTGTAAAAAAGTAATGTGCTGCATAACTGGAAAAAAATAGAAAGATTATTATTGATATTGCATATGCAACATGCATACGACATAAACGTATAGATTGAAATGGATATCGAATAACTATAAAATGTTCAATTATAACAGCAACAATAAGCCAAGCTGATATACAAGTAACTAAATGTTGTATATAAAAAGCTAGACGACATAGAAATTTTGATTCGATTTGTGGATGATATCCAAATAATATATCAAGTAAAAATAAAAGGCAGCCACTATAAAGTACACATATATCAGCAATAGCTAATAATGCTAAATAAAAATAAGATGAAAGTCCTCGACGTGAACGACGAAACAGAATTGTTGCCGATAAACTATTTCCAATAAGTCCAAATATAAGAAAACCTATTAATATTATAACTAGTATCCATTTTTCTAAACCTTCTGCAGTTGGATATGGTTTAGGTTCACAATATGGTAAACGATTTAAAAGAACATAATCTTCACGTGTCATATTTCGTGATGATTCATAGTCTAATGCATTGAAATCTTTTAACATGAAATCCTCAATTTCTCTACATGATAAAGCTACTAATTGGGAATCATTTGCAGACATTTGTGCTGTATCCATCGTAGATTTTCGAATGAATATAAAATGCTAAGAGAATTTCTTTTTATTATCTAAAAAATGAAACGTAATAAAATATATTATGAAAATTGAAAATTATTTTTCAATAATTGACGTTTATTAAACTATAAAAGCATGTCTAATAAAGATCTATTGTTATTGACGTTAATTTTTTTTATGTAGAGTATGTCAAGTAATAGTTTATTTCCATAGAAATATTATGTAAATCTATGGGATATTTCATACTTGTAGATAATCAAATAGACCGAGGGTAAATAAGAAAGAAATCTTGATACCTTATATCAATATTGTAACGATTGCTGAGCCAATATAGAACAGTATGAGAATATATATTTATATAAATCTCTATTCTTTCAAAGAAATCGCACTCATATTGTATTTTTCTCGTCTTTGATATAGTACTCGAAAAGATACAGTCACACACTATAACATATAAATATCTAAATAACATGCAGTGATACAATGGGTTAGATCTAAAACATAAGGAGAGTTTATGTAAATAGAACGGATAAGTATAAGAACTCAAAGTGTTTTCGATAGTTTGGTACATAAGGAACTAAGAGGATAATACGATGTATCAGGAGATGATAAGCGCATGTTTTTCTTATGGCATAAGTATCGGTACGAAGGGGAGGAAGAAGAAAGCAAAGCAAAGGAAAGAAGAAGCGTGGAGAAAGTAGAAAAGAGAACTGTACAATCTTTTAGATTGTTACAAATACACTTTCCAAGAAAAAACGTGGCAAAATCAAAAGAAAAGTTTTTGTCGATCAATATATTAGTTTAAAATAAGGTACGCAAATAGGAAAAAACTGTAAAGGGTGCGGGTGCGAGACAGATACAGTATACACATCAGCACCCTAGTCACCTATACGCGCACCCACCCCATTTTGGATAAGGATAAATGTCGATGAGTTTTTGTGATTCTCAAATGTAAATTGTGTTTTGTTTTTTCTCATTTCATGATCAGTGTCATATTACGAGTTAAAAGATAATTTTTTAAATTGTCTTATTGTAATCCATCGTAGTTATTTTTAAAAGGTCTTCTTCTTCCTCTTTGTTATATATAAAATGTAATAGATATCTATCATAAAGTGAGAAAAAAATCCAGGGATACCAATTTTGGAAGTAAAATAAAAAGATAAAGAAGGATTGTATATAAAAAGATGATTGCCATTTAATCTTTCATATTTTTTTCAAAACAAAGCCATCATACTAATATACAGTCAAAGGTAAGAAAATTATTTCATAAAAGTCAAAGAAGAAATTTTGAAATATTGAAGATCTGTAAAAAGATGAAGAGGATTTAAAGTGTGGTTGAGAGGATTAGATAGATTTTATTCTTCGATTTTATTAGGATTATGATTATCAATTATCCTACAAAGTTGTTGATAAAATATTCTATAGACTTTGAACTCTTTGCAAAATTAAGGTTCCATTCATAGGTAGATAAACCAGTCAAAGGACACACTAGTCGACGATCTTGCCTCTCGTCTTTCTATATGCTTGATTTTCTTAATAATCAGACAAGATTCTTCTATTCTAGTATTCTTACCTAGTCCTTTTCTTCTTACAATCCTTGACTGACTCTTGATTTCTTGAACTTGTTGCCTGATTTTTTTTTCTCAAGATTCTTTCCTGATTTCTTTTTTTTTCTTACATCTAACATGTTGATTTGAAAAACCAATAAATAATAAAATAACGTATTTGCATAAAAATAATAAAAGAAAAATACTAAAAACATTTTATTTACATGAAAGTTACAATAGAAAAATAATTAAAATATTTTATTTGCATCAAAAACTAAAACTAAAATCAGCTACACTTTGATATAGTGATATGATTCAATATACGTATCTTTTTTTCTCAAATATTCTGAGTTACGTACTTTTGAAATGCAACTCAAGTGTTATCTAGTCTAAAAATGAATAAATAAAGGATAATCGTTCGTATATATAAATACACACATACAAAGACATCATGTGATGTTGATCTTGAAGATCGTGCAGGAATCTTTTTTCTTTTCTCTCAAATAGAATTTCGCCTGAACATCTTGACTATAAAGAATCTTGTCTGATTATTAAGAAAATCATTGAATCTGGAAAGATGAGAGGCAAGATCGTCGACCAGTGCAATCACGTATGACTATCTTCCATAGGCTCAGTAATTGAGATAATACAAGTTTGTGTCTAAGAGTGGTTTTGGGTGGATGCGATTACGCGTATTTGCAATAGCCACATCCACATTCAGTTTTAGAAGAAAAAATATTTTCTAATTAAAACTTCACTTATCTTAAACTGATTTTCTTTATACAAGAAATGTTATGTCCTAAATAATTTCCCAGTTCTAAGTGTACTTACGGTTACAATCAGTGATATTCTTAGTTTTGAGTGTGCAAAATGAAGCATTTTAAAAGCGTATTCATATTTGTGACTTAGATCGAAACAACTCTTTAGTCAAATGGATGTGATCTCTGATAATAAATGGGTTTCAGAATTACAACTTCTGAATGTTTTCTTCTCCAAGTTATTTTCACAAATTCAGATGAGAACAATTTCATCACACAATTTCTATAACATAATTATCGTTTTTTCATCAGTAAAGCATTTCTAATATTTGTTTTTAATTGATTTCATCTTTTCAGAACCACAATCAATATCACCAGGCAAAAAAGTAACAACTATAGTATCATCACAGTCAACGCTTGGAAAGAGACTTAAACCTAATTACGAAAACATGGAATATAAAAAACTTCTTATTAACAAAAACGGAGAAGACGGTGTACAGTTGGCTGCAGAACGAGCCACTCCATATGATGCATCACTAGAATACAAAGTAAGTAGTGTTGTATTTAAGGGTGCTGGCTTAAGTATTGACTCTGCATTATTCTAATGCTAAATTAATACTAATGCTAAGCCAGCATCTCTAGTTCTGCTCTATCTGAGTTTTAGCCAAGAAATTAGATGTCTTATGGGTATGAGTGTGTCAGAAAAAGTTACGAAATGGAATAACTATTTTAGAAAGATCAAGAGAATAGTTAATTCTATCTGTAGTAAATGTTATTCTTGTAAAATCTGTTTTATGAAATACGATCTGAAAAAGAGTATTGAAGTTCTGTGGGTAGAAAGGAATGATGGAATCTTTGCGCACTAACCCATCTTGAGCGTGTGGGTGTGAGTTGAGGTGGCCGCAGGATAAATCTCGCATCCTTACTTACACCTACACCAACATCCTACTTATGAACAAATATTCATTTTCGAAATAAAATATTTCTGAAAGAGATTAAATTTTTTTCATTATTATTCGAGAAAAGATTAATAAACTGAACAAATTCAATAGTTAGTTACGAGAACAATCAACACTTGTTAAAGAATTCTAAATGAATAATTTCTTTATAAATATTTAGCCTAAATCAGAGAATAAAAACCATATTAAACGATCTACTCGTCAACAAACAGGATCGTAAGTATTTGATTCATTTATTCGAAATATAACTATCATTTTAGATCTTTGTTTCATTGGAAAGCAATATTAGTTTTAATTATCATTGCCATTATTAGCGTAATAACTATCATTAGTATTACAATATGGGTTCTTTTCATTAAAAAGACCGGAACAGCAATTAATACAACTGCGGCTACAATTGATGTATCGATAACAGGAACAACAATGTTTACAGCGTCGACAACAAAAACCGCAGTGATTACAACGTCGACAACCGAAACGACAATTAATACAACTACAAGTACAATTAGTGCATCGACAACAGAAACAACAATGTTTACAATGTTGGCAACAGAAAGAACAATGCTTATAACGTCGACTAATTCTCGTACAACAATGAATGGTAAAATTTTGTTATAAAAGAAAAAATAAGAATTGACATATTGGTTGGATTCAAAAAAAAATAAGGTTTACACATAAATTCCAAATTTGTAGTTCACGAGCGCATCCATATTTTACCTAATGATATTTTAAAGTATATAGTCGACCAAAACAAATTAATAATTAAATACAGAGTAAATCTGTTACGGAATGGGAAGTGCTATTTCGAAAACAGAATAATAGTACTCAACATCAAGAAGTAACACCCCCAAGACACAACAAAAGTACTCAGTACCTGAAAGTATTATTTTCATAACAGAACAACTATGTTCTATTTTCAGGAATTTTGAGGTGTGCGTAAATTAGAAGAATCACTCACATCCACATCCTCGAAAGATTTCATTTCGTAAATCATCTCATTTTTCTTTTTTCATCATTTTAATGTTGATCTAATAAGAAAAACTAAAAGATAAAATTTAATTCTGCTTGAAATATTTTAAATCTTTATTTATTTGTTTTATTTTATACAAATTTTTCAATTTAGATTATTGTTTTCATTGATAAATTTTTCTAAAATATTAGTTTTTCTCTCAAATTTTTATTTAACTAAAAACAAATCAACGAAATCTTTTCTGATTTCTTTCCTTTTCAAAATTAGATCTTTGTCAATTTGTTCGAAAATAAATAATCTTTCAATAAAAATACATTTTTGTAAAAATTTCAATTCCAGAAACCAAAACTTTAAAATACTTTTTTCTTTTTAAAACAAAATATTTCTTCATTTCATTTTACTCGATTTTATTCAAAGAAAATCTTTTCTTTTTCTTCGACTAAAAACAATATTGCTTCTTGTTCTTCTGTTCATTAAAATATCTTTTTTTCATTATTTTCTAGTATCAGGATTCAATAAATGGAAACAAAATGCCATCACTGTAGCTGGTGGAAATGGACAAGGACAACAAGTAAATCAACTCAATGGTCCAGAAGGAATCTTTATTGATAAAAACAAAAATATTTTCATTGCTGATTTTTATAATCATCGCATTGTTGAATGGAAATATAATGCAAAAGAAGGACAAATCATTGCAGGTGGAAATGGCATAGGAGATCAAACAGATCAAATGAATTATACAACAGATGTGATTATTGATCAACAAAATCATTCGATCATCATTGCTGATCGTGGGAACAAACGAGTGATTCAATGGCTGAATCAAAATCAACAAATTCTCATTGAGAATATTTCTTGTTATGGCTTGGCAATGGATAAACATGGGTTTCTTTATGTTTCTGATCAAGGGAAGAATCATGAAGTGAGACGATGGAAAATGGGAGAATACACTGAAGGAATGGTAGTGGCAGGTGGAAATAAACAAGGTGATCAACTCAATCAACTTAGTTATCCTGATTTTATCTTTGTTGATGAAGACCAATCTGTTTATGTATCAGATTACAACAATCATCGTGTGATGAAATGGAGAAAAGATGTAAAAGAAGGAAGAATTGTTGCTGGAGGAAATGGTCACGGAGAAAATCTCAATCAGTTGCATTATCCTTACGGAGTAATTGTTGATGATTTAGGTCAAATCTACGTGGCAGATTTTGAGAATAATCGAGTAATGCGTTGGCGTGAAGAAAAAGAAGAAGGTGAAATTTTTGTTGGTGGAAATAGTCAGGGAAGTCAATCAGATCAATTGGAAGGTCCTATGGGATTATCCTTTGATGATGAAGGAAATTTTTATGTTGCTGATATGATAAATCATCGAATTGAAAAATTTGAAATAGTTTAGTGAATGAAATTTTAATTTTAAAATAAAGAAAAAAACTTTTGTTAAAATAAAATATTGAATAAGTTTTGAAGAAAAAGAAGTTTTCTGATAAAAAACAGAGAAAAATGTTTTTGATTGCTTTCTTTAAAATTTCAATATATAATATAATGAATATTTTTATTTCGATAAGAATAAAAAAAAAAGGAATTTCAGAAGAAAAATGAACAAAAAATTTAAAACAAAATTAAAAATTAAGAAAAGTTTTGTAAATGATACAAAATTCAAATGTGCTTTTTAATTTCAAAGATATTTGATCAAATAAAGATTTTTTATCTGATTTTTTTGAAATTTGATGAAAAAGAAAAATAATATGAAAGTGTTTTTAATGAATAATAAAAAGAATGGAATTCCACAATGAAATTAATTCCAAATATTTTCAGATTAGTTTGATAATAACACATAGAACTACGAGAAAATCTCTTGTTTCAAAGTATACAAAAATATTCTTTAGATAAATTATTGTAGAGATAAAACTTTTTGTACGAATTTTTTTAATTATTGTTAAATTAAAATATTTCTATGAAAACTTCTATATTGATATATAAATTTAGTGATAAGAGAAATGCCTGAATAAATAAATATTATTTATTATTTTATAGAATTGTAAACATTGATATTGATTTGAATAAAACAACAAATGAAATATCTAAAAAGATGAATTTCTATTAATTGATAATCTAATGTTATTATTTGAGAGTATTTTCTTCCTGCAATGATAATCTTAAGTATGTGGGTAAATGGGTACAAACTGCATATATGAGCCACATCCTCTGACTTTCTTCGACTTACTTTAATCTATTCTGATTTTAATTAAATTAAATTGAATTGAATTGAATTGAGCTTAAAAGTTTTTTTCTGAAGTCATCTGAATAGTCCTTTCTTGAGCAACGCCTGAAACCAGTCATGGCAGCTATACATAGTGATCATTGTGCTAAAAAATTAGAACCATGGTAAATCGAAATAAATTATTTAACTTATTGAAAAAAATAATATTTTTTTTAGAATTAAATTTATTGGAATGCTTGAAACTAATGAACCATATTCTAAAGAACATAATATAGACACATCTAAAAAATATTTAAAATGTATGGCACCACTGAAAATTTGGCTTGAAATGGAAGTTGGTATAGCATATGTTGAAATTTCTCGACTTTATACACAACCTGAAGATATTTAAGATATACATCGTGAACTTTCAACAATTTCTCCATTATTTTTGATTGCTACTACTTTTGGTAATGTTCGACTCCACCCCGAATTACTTCGTAAAAATCAAGAATATGTTAAAGAAAAATTAAATTTAAAAGATAATAAATCTATTTTTCTTGTTTTTTATGGTAGTTCTAGTTCAACAAAAGATGAAATAAAAACAGCTATTCAAAATAGTGTTGTTAAAATGAATATTGGGAAGGAATTTTAAAATTTTATAAAAAAAATGAAAATTATCTTCAAGGTTAACTTGATAATGAAGATAAACTAAATAAAAAAATCTATGACCTATGTGTATGGTTACGATTTATTATTATTTTTCTTAAATCTTATATTCGTTTTATCAATAAAATAATTAACGTAGTTTAAATGCAGCAAGAGTTTGACCTTCATAAGTTTGTAAAATAATTTTATAATATTTTTTTGATATATTAAAATAATGATCTCGATTTGAATAATCATGAACGAATATTATTGAATTTTTATCAAGATAAGAAGAAATTTCAAATGCACAATCTACACGAGCACGTCCATCAATTAAAACTCTATCAAATTTAATGACATTTAATGAATGTACTGCGTGTATATAACCATGAAATTGTATTTTATTACCTTCTGAATATCCACCTAACCAACCTTTATAACCCGGATTAATATGTATTAGAATGTATTTTTTAATAATTGAAGATATTATTGGTGAATGATCAATTAAACTTTTTATTGTTTTATACCATTGTTCATTATGTTCAATTGAATAATAAGCATTAACAAATTGAGAAAAATAAAGTGTTGAATAACCACTTCCATATTCGAGCATTGTATGAGATTTATTTAAATATAAACGAATTATATTACGTTCTTCTGCAGACATATAAACTAATGATGAATATTTATTTGTTTCTTCTTCATATTTAACACAAAACAATTTATTATAATTTATAATAAATAATAAGACAATTATTAATATGAACATAATGGACAATTTTCGTTTTGTTAAACAACGACAACCGTGTATATATTTAATATGACCAAACATTTCATCAATAATACTTTCATCTAAAGAATATTATCTGAAACGATCATAAAAAGATACAAACCAAAACAAAATTTGGTTATATGACTAACATGTTGAAAACGCTTGCGAACAACTATTATCATTAACTTATTTTATTCTTTACTGTCTCAATAATATTACACGTTCGTCATGCAATACTGAGTACATCATAAATACGATATAGAAACGAAAGAAAATTTTTTTTAGTAATAACTCAAGGTTGATATATTTTATTTTCTAACGATAATTATTATATGGTATTCATCATTAATATCTATCGTGAAATAAAGATCTGATTGATTCTACTATTATACTCTCGATAATGATGTGTATTGACTTAATATACCATATAGAACACACACAGTTATGAACGATCGTTTACAGAGTTCATAACCTTCGATCTGAGAATATGCCACATTTATTAGTGCAATATGAATATTACATTCAAAATACTATGGTGTAGCTAGTGGTATGTATGAATTTGGTAGAAATAAAAAACATTGAAAATAAAAAATATCGAAAGTGCTGTTATTTATCTCTACCAGGTTTATATTATTCGTATTTTCATAGAATATAAAATTTGATAAACAGATAGATTCTGTTTGAATAAAGAGTAAATTCATGGTGGTGGGAATCAGATGTAGTGTTCGAAAGTAGCTAAATAATTGTGAGCTTTATTTAACGGTCAATCAGTTTATGATTTTGGTGCAAAACTTGGATGGTATGGAAAAGCATTATTATATAGTTAATGATAGTAGTGGTTATCATGTAGTTAGTTATAAAGCATTTGATGCTGCAGAGAATGTTGGTATAGTTTTCCTGATGGTTTTGTCGAATATCTCAATCTATCTCAAGAAATTGACCTTTCACCTACAGATTGGATATTCAGTCTTGAAATCGGTGAGCATGCTCCTGTTCAATATACAAAAAAAAACATTTATTCAAAATCTTTGTAGACACAATAAAAAAAAAGCATTGTTCTATCTTGCGTAGTAGAAGGTAATTATGAAATTTACTATATTTTTAGGTCAAGATAGACATTTTCATGTCAACAATCGAAATAATAGTTGTATAAAATCAATCTTTCTTCAACTTGCCTATTCGAATGATATTTATCGGGAAAATTCACTTTGAAATGCTTCAACATTGCCTTTTTTCACAGATACTTTGATGTTTTTATGAAAACCATAAATAAAAACATAAATATTAGATAGTTCGCTACTTTTTACATTATTTATTATATTCAAAATTATTTCATCATAAAGTTAAAAATTTATTTAATATAAAACTCGAATAAGATCGTCTTTTTTCTAGCGTATAGGTTATCTATCTCAATATTGATAAGTATTATTCTAGAAAATGTTAATAAACAATCTAAATGAACTTTTACAATCATTTATGTATTTATAATAATCAAAAAAAAAATAATTCTTCATAGGAAATATGACAAGAATTTAATAGAAATTAATCCATTAATATCATTAGATAATATTCGTTATTATTCAGACAGTCTATAATAATATTACTCGTATATATCAATCAAAAAGAGATCTTTCTATTCTGCATTTTCTTACCATAAAAAAAGCTCTTGAATTTGAACAGATGGGTGGGTGTTGGCGTATGATTATATGATATCTACACCCACACCCTCAAGATTGAAAAGTTAAAAACTTCGTAGAACATTTCTAAAGACGCCTGTAAAAGACAGAAATCAACATAAAGATAATATTTATGACGTATAATATGTCTGAATAAAACACTCTTAAAAGTAAAGTGTCATTTTGTTTTATCATGCTCACGTATAACGTTTGTTATATCAATTCAAGACTATAGTCATACCTTTTTCGCGTTGAAGATAATATTACTTACTTTTTGTTCTTCGTATAAATAATATGCAAATATAAATTTATTTCGAATAATAACTCGTTCTTTTTTATTTTACCTTTTGAAATAATTTAATATGAGTGAAAGCCAACGTTATAGTGAATTTGCCATGGAAAGTAATCGACCACACAAATGGTGGCATCATCGATCGGTTAAGATCATCTGTCTATCTTTTATCGTTATAACAATTTTGGCAGTGACGCTCTCTCTGCTCTTAAAGTTTGTCATTCTTGCTCCGGAAAAGTCAGAAACTACGACTGTCATCACTACCACAATATTACCGACAACTACAACATCAGTGCAAACACTGCTAACGACAACAACAACTATGGTCACAACTCAGCCGTCAAGTAAGCTTCAGAGTAACGTTTGTCGGTCTCCTTATTTGGTAGTTTTAAATCATATATAAGTAGTTGTTTTGCATCCAATAGTTTTCTATATCTCGCTGGAAGTTACATTATTGTCAACAGTGATGTTGTCATAAGTGATTCATTCGTTATCTTAAGAAGAAACGAAGATACAATAATCGCCGCATTCGCTATTTTTCATCATGATCAAAGCTCACATGATTTTGTTGATACCGATGCAACGAAATCTATTTTTTGTCTTTGTTTCATATAACTACATATCTTACTTTTAAGGGAGAAGAAAACAGAAAAAAAAATCATTTTGCCTCAAAGGAGCATATGCATATTTGTCGAGCACGAAAATGCTAGTGAATTATCTTTCTCTCCCTTTCGTGTGTAAACATAAATATCTTTATTTAACACGATAGGATGCGATCTAAATTCTTTGATCATAATAAATCACTGCATTCCTTAGTTTGGAATGGTGTTGTAAACGCAACTGTGTCTGAATACCGCCTTTCCAATTGCAAAAATTCGTAAAAAACGAACCGAAAAACCAAAAAAGGTTCGCTTTTTGGTCTTGCTATGAGAATTCATTCAAAATTTCGCGAATCCTACTGCTTTTCTTTTACCTAGGAAGTTTCATTAAATGACTATAATCAATAGAAGCTTTATATAATGAAAAGTGCATTAGTTCTTATGAATACTGTAACAACAAGTATAAGATACAAACCTGTTTCATATGTCATTCCACATACGATTTTCATCTTAAAAAATCTAAAATTTTCCGCACATGATTTTATCATTTTGAGTTTCACAAGAGATAGTCTTTCGAGAATCTATACAATCAAATATTTCTGTCTAGAATGGTCTGTTACCGGTAATATGAATATTGGACGACATTTTCACACAGTATCTGTATTATCAAATGGAAAAGTATTAGTTACTGGTGGTAATTACCATGATTATCCGTATAATGCTGAATTGTATGATCCATCAACAGGTACTTGGACAACTACTGGTAACATGACCTATGTACGATCTCGACATACAGCATCTGTATTATTAAATGGCAAAGTATTGGTTACTGGTGGGCACAATGGTAATATTAGTTTAAATAGTGCTAAGCTGTATAATCCATCAACAGGTACTTGGACAACTACTAGTAACATGAGTTATGCACGAGAATATCACAGAGCATCTGTATTATTAAATGGAAAAGTATTAGTTACTGGTGGGCAGAATGGTAATATTAGTTTAAATAGTGCTGATCTGTATGATCCATCAACAGACACTTGGACAACTACTAGTGACATGAATTATGTACGAGCTGATCACACAGCATCTGTATTATCAAATGGTGAAATATTAGTTACTGGTGGAACATACCCTAATTATTCGAATAGTGCTGAATTGTATGATCCATCAGCAGGCACTTGGACATTTACTGGTAATATGAATACTGGACGATATTCCCACACAGCATCTGTATTATCAAATGGAAAAGTATTAGTTACTGGTGGAACACACTATGATCATTCGAAAAGTGCTGAGCTGTATGATCCCTCAACAGGTACTTGGACAACTACTAGTAACATGGGCTATGCACGAGAATATCACACAGCATCTGTATTATTAAATGGAGAAGTATTAGTTACTGGGGGGCAGAATGGTAATATTAGTTTAAATAGTGCTGAGCTATATAATCCTTCAACAGACACTTGGACAACTACTAGTAATATGACTATTACACGATCTTCTCACACAGCATCTGTATTATTAAATGGAAAAGTATTAGTTACTGGTGGATCAGGCAATAGCCACCCAAACAGTGCAGAATTATATGAATTATTTGAAACAAATTAACTTTTAGTTGTCTTAGTCTTTTTCGTACAAGTAATTCAAATTCCAAATAATACTTCAGTTAGAACAACTGTCATCTTATGACGGCCGCGAACTGTTTCCTTTCATATTTTTGTTGGATTATCACATACTTTAATATTCGAATCCAAATAAAAGAGAATATTTTTGCTTTTTACTCTTGTAGATTAATTTATTAGGATTACCAAAAGTTATAACTAATACGATAACTTTAATTATCCTTTCAAATGTTCTCTTAGTTTTACAGTATCGTTTTTCATAATATTTAATCTTGAGAGTGTGGGTGTGCGTGTGAGTATGGGTGAAATAAGCAAGAGACACTCTCACTTACTCTTACCCACACACTTTTTTTTATAAAAAGAAAGAAATGCTATTGCATATTAATGATACAGTAAAGACTTGAAGATAGTATAAGAATATCCGAAAAAAACGTATGTATTGCGGTGTAAAAGGATGTGGGATTCGGAGTATGATTGGAATTCCGAGAATCCTATGAAAATCTTGGAAGTACGAAGTCCACCGTTTCCCCCTTGGATGAAAAGTTTGCCATAACGACTCTATTATAGCTCTAATATGTCTGGGAAATTCCACCTAAATCGTAGTTTCTGAAAAAATCTTTTATGAGAGAAACTGCTTTAAAATAATGAGTGATGTAATAGCCATTATTTCGTTACCAGTTAAACAGTTTCTACATGTCCAAAAGGCATCATTTTAATTGTGTAAATTTGAAAGCATTTTAATGCCATTACATCATTATTTTTTCTGCCTGCGATATATTAAAAATTGCGCGGAATTCATTTTACATTGTGAAGCAATTGCTAAGTTTCAATACTTTTCAAAAAAAGAAGAAAACGAGAACAGATTTGCATCATTGGTTTTTCAAATATATATATTAAATCAGTTTTGTCGTTAATATATCTTATCTATTTTGTATGATTAATGTACTCATAATTTTGATGTATGTATCACTTCCTTTTTCTCTAATGAAGTATAAAAAATAAATATCATGACTTTATTTAAACGATTAGAAAGGAAGTGATGTATGACTATACAAAAATTAGTCATAACTCGGAAAAAAATATCTCCCTTTTTCTTTTTAATCAAGAAAGTACCTGTACTGTACTGATGACTATAAAAAGGTTGATATTTTAACGAATAACATTAGTAATAATTTGCTGATTTAAGTTATATTCGATTTTTTATGATCAAATTTGAATTTCTTTTAATTTAATTTAGAAAATCTGTCAAACAAAAAAACTACAAATGCCAGCAAATGTCCAATCCTCGTCCTTATGCTACAAAATATTTCAGTTGACTTATTCCCATTGATTTCTTTCAACATACTTTAGGACTAAATGGTATTCTTGCTTGATTCCTACAACATTCATTGGTGTAGGACTCTTTTTGATCGCAAGTGTAATTGTATTGTCACTTATTCCTGCATATATACCAACAAAAAGTTTATCTGCTGGAGGTAAACTTTAAGAATTTTATTGAAAATCTAATAATCCTGTTTAATTTATCTAGACTCTTATAGTTCCTTGATCAACTTGAAATACAATATACCACGAACTCTTGTAGCAGATCTTAGCGGGAACACGATGGTATTACATTCAGGCAATTTAACCGATAATCGAGTGAAACTTTTTGAAGCTGTTGTAAGCTAATTATTTGAATAAAAACAAATTTAATCATATTAAACTCTTTGATTTTAGCTTCAAAATAAATTATATTCGAACCAAAATTTTAAAAATCTTCGTATTAATATAAGCCAAGTGTCAACGCAATCATTGGCGAGTAGTCGTCGTCGTCGAACAATTAATCGTCGTTCTTCAAACGGAGAGAATGTGATTATCTATCAAAGATCCGATAACTCTACAGAATTCGATCAATTAGAAATATTCTTTCGATTAGTACGTCATGAACCTTTGACAAAGAGTATCATTTCGAGTGCTCTTACCAATATTTTCAACCAAATCGAATTTAATGCTACAACATGTAAGTTTTCATTCGATTTTTCTATTTTTACTAATAATTCTATTTCTTCAATAGTTCTTACATTATTTGGTGATGATTCCACGAGCGTAAGTATACATACTGATTGATTCATCATATTATAATTAAAAATCTTTTATTGTACAGGGTTTATCAACACGTGCAATTAGTTATCATGTCAAGGATAGTGAAATTATGACATTAGACGATGTAAATGTCTTTGGTATCAAAGATTATACTGGAAATATTCAAAATATTTATGCAATTCAAACAAATAATACTATTTATACAATTGATAATGGTAAAATTGTTCGAATACGATTGTTAAATGAAACATTCGTTTTTAACTATGATGATGTTAATAATCAATATAAAGTATTGCTTGTCTTAAAAAATAATTCATATGAAATAAACAGTACTTATCAAACACCTAATATTACATTTCCAACACCAATATTTATCTTTCCCCTAAATGAATCAGTACCAAATATTTTCACAGGAATTCTTGTAGAATTGAATAATCAAATTAGTAGTAGCTCAGTTGATGATGCTACTTTATTACTAAATTATCTTGATGCAAATCAAACCAACAAAAGTGCAGTTATGTTAACTATGGGTGGTGGAAGATATTATGTACCATTACCAACTAATGATTCATTATTTGATAAATATTATGATTCAAATAAATTTCTTACAACAATTACTCAACAGAGTGATGCATATTTACAGTTATTTCAAACTTATCCAATTGTTGATATATGTTCAAAAGTTCCAGATGTTGGCAAATCATTTTGTTCGTTCATTATTCAAGAAATGACTGTAACAATTCCTGAAGTTCTTCGTACAGCATCACAAAATATTTCGGAGTTTCAAACAAAATCTCAATTGTTTGGTCAAATGACTAATTTTACAGTTATTGCTTTGGTTCCTGGAGAAGAATCACTAACAATATCATTGAATACAAGTAATCTAATTAGTAGTAAATCAAATACTCGAGTGGTTAGAAATGTTAATGATATAGATATAACTCAATTAAATACATTTTCGATTCAAATAATTGGTGCTCGTGGTCAATGCAATGAAGAAACAGTAGCTGGAAATGATATACCTGATGATAGAATTATTGAGATTGGTAAATCACATACGACAGTAACATTTTCTTATGAAACATATGTTATCAAAGATCAAATCGAAGTTTATTACATCAATCAACAAATCTTTTCAACTGGATGTGTCGGTGCCAACGGAGCAATAAATTTAACTCTAGATGGTGATGAAAGTACATTGAGAGTCAATGTTATTCCAGATTGTGCAGGTGACACTGGAACTGCTTGGTATTACTCTTTACAATGTACCAATGAATTAATTTGTGAAGACGATATTTGCTATTGTGGACTAACCCGTAAAAACTCTACACAAATTCAGAGTGCTACATATAATGGTTGTGGAGGAGAAGGTTCACCTTTTAATTTCCTTATTAATCCTATGGGCGATATGTGGGGATTTACACCTGCCTGTAATAACCATGATATCTGTTATGGAACATGTAACAGTCTTAGAAATACATGTGATACGAATTTCTTTACAAGTATGCAGCAAACTTGCTCGAAATTTTCTTCTCTTTCTGATGTATATAATAATTGTGAAGGATGGGCGAGCATATTTTATCTTGCTGTACACTTCGAAGGAACACATTTTTTTGTTCCTGGTCAAAAAGACGATTGTAATTGTGTTACAAAATGATAAAAACGTGATATTTACTACAACAACAATACATCCGCGATTAGTAAATTCTAAACTTTTCAAATTTAAAGAAGAAGAAAATTGAACAAACTATATTTCAATACTAATGACATCTATTTTTTTCACTTTGAAAGTTGATCAATTTAATTCTTCTTAACATTTCCTTTCCTCTTTCATATTTTTTTCGTTTTATATATTGAGGGTGTCGATGTGGGTGTTGGTATTAAAACTATTTTTCACCCACATCCTCAAGATGGTATTGGTCGTCACAGGTAAAAGAAAATAAATGAATACATTTAGATATTTTGATAAGAAAGAAAAGCAAAGTTTTTATAAAATATGTAAAAATGAGAGAGTGGCCCTGAGTAGAAAAGTGGTATAGATTAGAAACGGCACTTTAACTTTACTTTAAAAGTTGAAAGTAGGCCATTTTTCCAGAAGGCTTGTTCCTCACTATTGTCAGCACAAAATATAGTGTTGTTCGGAGGATATGAAAGAACACTATGTAATTGGTCTCTTTTATGAAACTTGAGTTTTTGACTGTCCATGTTTTTTTACCTTGAACCTCTTGATACGCATATAAACGAATTTAATTTTTTCAAATGACTCCCCCCTCAGTCGAAGGAATGGTATTGTAATTGAGGACGAAGGACTCCGCCGGATAAGATCATAAATCTGCCACATTAGAGTATAAAATTTTGCATATTTTGTTTGTTCTTTGTAGAAGGCAAAAAAAATCTTCAATTTTAATACTCAAGATATAATTACTTTTAGCTTTAGAAGATTATAACTATTGTGCTAACGATTTTTTCTTTGATTCACCTAATATGTAAACTAGTTGTATAGATCGATATAGCTTTTTGTTCTCTACAAAATAGTATGAATTCGTTGATTTTCAGTTTCTTTTGTTAGAAACCATTTCGTTAAATTATCGATATGATTTTATTCATATTTTCCACAAGAACAGAACGGAAACTATGATAAAACAAACACTTCCTTGTGATTTGCTTTACAAAATAATATAAGTTTGAGAAAAATAAAAGTAGTCCCAATTGTTAATTACATTCAAACACGTCCCTATTTCATTTGTGTATTAATACTTTGTGTTAGTCAACATTAGATGTTATTTAAATTATTCTTGTTTTTAATATTTCGCTTTCTTTATTGTGACACTTGAGAGTGCTAACAGTTAATACCGTAAAGATTCACAACTGCACGTTACACATCACTATCTGGGATATAAGCATACAACAAAAAAGCATATTTCATTGAAACTGTGCTACGTCAGTAGATAAAGAGGAGAAGAAAAACAGAAATTTAGCAATATTAACGGAGAAAGCGAAAATATGAGTCAGAACGATGAGTACCGCCACGCTTTAATATGAGTCTTCATCATTCTAAAAATTCAAGTTACAGTAGGCAAATCTGGTTTTTTAGTTGAAGATTAAGCGAGTCATTCTCAACGAGCATTATTTATTTATTCTGGTAATTAAATACACTCCATACAACCGACACATCGAAAAAAAGAGAGGTAAAGATACAAGAAGAAGGAGGATTACGAAATTAGTTAATCATGAGCAAATAGGAAATTGCGTCCACGTTCCTGCTGCTTTGCAGGTAACATTTAGAGAGCCTGACAATAAAGTGAGACCTAGTGCACACTGAAGTTGAATCCATCCACCAACAAGAATATCACCATTGTCACTGACCGAGAGTGATTTAGATATTACTCTCATCTTGACCAATACTGATTGTAATTCAGATACAGAGCAACCTGGATTCACTTTTTATAAAATAAGAAGACATTAATGCAAAATAAGTTTTTATATGGATGACAAACCTGTGCAAACAGGGACTGCACTCCAAACACCATTCTCGCAGATCATACGTGAGTTGCCTTTTAAAGTAAACGGTGATACACATTGGTAATCAATGAATGATCCTGACGCAGCATTATTCTCAACTGATAATGTGAGTCCACTTAAATTGCTTGCATGCCCATTGGTAATATTAATCATACTTGCTAAGTAAGGGCAAGCTGATTTACCAGTTGATGATGCCTTTGTAACTTGTGAAATTGGAATACACTCGGGAGCTTGCGTCCATGAACCGTTCATGCACATCACATTCAAATTACCACCAGCGTTCGTGTAACCGCTCATACAACTGAAGATAACATAGGAGCCATTGTGAACGAGAGTTGACTCCTCACGAATATGCTTCAATTGTATTTGGTCAGTAACTTGTAAGCCAGGTGTACTTGAGAGTAATTTTGTTAGACTTGGAATTGAACAGTTATAAATAAACTTTGTAATATCTAAAGAATACATAAAATATTTAAACTATAGAATCAAGATCTCTCATACTTAAACATTCATTTCTGTTTCTCCAACCAAATAAAGAACAGCTGAATGGATAAATATAATAGTCATACTCATACGGGGAAATCACACCCTGAATAAGAGGAACACATGTTGGAAATTGGGTCCATGAACTATTAATGCATGTCACACTTAGACTACCGCTAACGGCTCCATAGCCACTCATACAACTAAATACAACATAGGAACCATCGCGAACAAGAGTTGGATTATCAGGAATTTGTATTAGTTTTGTTAGACCAGTAGTTTGTAACTGAGGTGTACTTGAGAGTAATGCTGTCAGATTTGAAATTGAGCAGTTATCAATTTCTTTAAAAGACAAAGAATATAAGAGGTAAGATCAATATCATTCATACTTAAACAACGAGGTTTAGTAGACCAAACACCATTATTACACTCGTAAAGAGCACTAATAGCTGGATCGATCATATAACCAGATTTACAGCCAAACGTAATCCGTCCTAGAATGTGCGAAGTTTTACTTTTAGAGCTGCAATGCTCTTTATCTATATACCTTGATATGTAAAAAATGGCAGTATAAGCGTTGAACTATGAACAAGAAATCCATTTTCAATAGAAAAAGTGGTCACATCAATAGGACATGGGGCGTCAATGCTGACTTTCATCGTCGTCGTCGTCATAGTTGAAGTCATAGAAACATTGCTGATATTAAGGATACAATTAGGAAATTGGGTCCAGGTACCATTTAGACATGTTATATTGAGTGGACCTGCAATATTTACATATCCTGTTCGACATGTTGTTGGCACGAAAGCTCCCGAAACTACATAATTATTATCTGTTTCATTCCTTGGTAGATTATAGCTGCTATTCAATGTCAATGACGCAGATTGATTCTGAAGGAAAGTAAAGAGAGGTGCACTTGGACATGGATTAATAGCTAAATGAATGTAAATTAATTGCTGTGTGTTAATATACAAACTAAATAGTGTTGAAAAACTTACGTTGACAAACCGGTAATGGACTCCATGATCCGTTGTTAAAACATGTAAGGCGAGTACCAATAGTTGGATTAGATGTGTAGCCTGGTGCACAGACATACTCCAAATATCCATTTGGAATAATTTTTCCAGAAATTGTTGCAGTGATATTAATATTACCTGCATTAGATAGGTAACAGTTTGCTATTCTTAATAATGCTTCGTTGAATACGCATTGACCTGTTTAAAGTAGACATTTATTATGAAAAATTAGAAATACGAGTACTACATTATTACCATAACATATTGGAAATAAACCAAGTAGAAACAGACACGCATACGATAAGTACATTTTAGAAAAATCATTAGTTTCAATTCATGATTAAATATATAAACTATTTGAATGAATGAATGAGGGTGGGAATAATAATAAGTCATCTGCTATTGAAAGTACACGTGTGTCCGTAATGGACATTTTCTTTTCAACATTGACAATAAAAAATATAAAAATGAGACGTTCTGGTATTGATGCAGAAATAATACTTTTGGAAGAGACGAATGCAACAGCCGGTGCTTCAATGAATATATAATGAAGATAATTGAGAAACAATTATCGAAATATCACATTTGTATAAAAAAATAATAATCAACAAAAGAATTAAAATTATATTTGAAAAAAAAATATTAGTTGTAAATAATAATAATCATAGTTTTTTTCAGAGAGCATTAACAGATTCACATTATTGTAAGTGGTTGATATCAAAATGCAATAGATATTTAATTATTCAACGCTTGCAAAGCTCCTATTTATTCATCACCAGGAAGTAATTTTTATCAAATATGAAGCTCTGTAACCGTGAGAAACTACAATTTTAATGAGAATCGAAAGAAAATAGTTCTTTATCCATATGAACAATATTGTGTCCTAGTTCAGCCTTATTAGATTCGACACAAATTTATTTATTTCAAAAATGACAATTACGTTTTTTCAGAGAGGTGAAATCTTGAGAGTGTGGGTGTGGGTCGGTGGATAATGTAATCATCTCCCATCCACTCATATCCACACCCGCTCCCAATTCGCAAACGATTCTTACAATTAAACTCACATTTTTACAGCAGATACAAAATAAAAAATTCAGTGAACAGTGACAGTTGTAGCTCTTAATCATGTGTTGTTTAGAAGAAATTTACCGTATACAAAAAGAATGTAGAATGACACTTTTTATGCAGACATTCCTGCGAGTCCAATAAATAGGCCTCTGCAATCACTTTTTCACAATATAAAACAAATTTAGGTGAAAATGAACTGTATGAAATGTCGGAAGCAGACATAAAATATAACAGAATATACTTCTTGAGGAGTATTTTATCGATCGTCCGAATATGTTGCAAAATCTAGAATTGAAAAATCTAGAAAGAAAAAAATCAGGAAAATAAAAATTCTGAAAATAAAAATTTAGAAAAATGAAAATCTTACAAAACATTAGAGATGGTCAAGAATTTTCGATAAGCAGATTTATTTTTACTTGACAAAAAAAAAACAGAAAAAGTATCGAACGAGAGAAGATAAATGTAGGTGAGTTTGATTGTTCTGTTTAGATCAACAACAGACCTCTATCTCCTCATCCACACCCTCAAGATGGCAACATAGCAGTTACTTGCTGTTTGCATTGTTCGTTTTTGTTTCTACATTTTGTAAAAAATACATCATCCAGTTTTTCTAGCACATCTCACGACTGATCTTTTAGAAAATTAATACTTAGAGAATTAAAATCAAATTGATGTAGCAGCGAGCCAATAAATGTTAAATTTATTACGAATCGCATGTTGTTCGATCGACGCGAAATAGAATCGTATTCGAACATCTGGTTTATGCATTTATTATTTCGAAGTTTCACATTTAGAAAGACTACTTAATGAATATTTTAGTTCCCCGACTTGAAAGTTTTATAAAAATAAATACGATTAGTCTCTTTTTTGATTATTAATTAAGACAAAGTATCAGCGTCAGTCACCTCCACCACAGCCTCCACCACAACCTCCTCCACCACCACAACCTCCTCCACCACCACCACAACCTCCTCCACCACCACCACCACAACCTCCATCACAGCCTCCACCACAACCTGCATCACAGCCTCCATCACCACCACCACCACCACCGCAGCCACCACCAATATAGCCAGCATCTATAACGTTTCTACCACCACTATAGTCAGCACCAATATCGTTTCCACCATTACTTACATAGCCAATTGATGGATATGTTTTAGTAATCGGTGCTATTATCATTGCACAGGAGCTGAAATATTGTGATGTTTTTAGATTATCTATATCAATATCTTTGCCATAATCTACATTATAAGCCGACTTCCATCGATCAGCTGTTTTCTGATAACGGTCACTTAGTACGTTTTCTTCAATAGAATCATCATGATTAAGAAGAAAGCCACATAAGGCTATTGAAGTTTCTTGATAACTTGAGGGAAATCTCATATGTGTATGCCATATCAAATCAATTTCAAATGTTGGTACAATAATTCCATTATTGTTCGCTAACCTTACAAATGAAACATAATTCTGTACCATTTTTTCAAACGAATCTCGGTTCATCTTCAGCAAATTCATTGAAAACAGATTATGTTTCTGAAATTTTTGTAGAAAATCAATTTGGCGAAGTACAGCACTTGCCAGACCAAGCGATGGAACAAATGTAGATCGATGTTTTAGAGATTTGAACGGGACAAACGAATGATAATGTTGATGTTTTTTCACTGTTGATCTTATGTATTTTTTATCCACAACTTTATGGTCTGGTAGTTGATTAATACAGTCATTGCTATACGCAATTGGATGCAGACGATGAACATGCCAGATCCATTCGATTTCCCATGGAAGCTTTTGTTGTTGACGCTCAGTCGTAAATGCTTGATAAGCCATGCGTCTACAATAATCTTTAATAAAACTATTCAAATTTTTTTCTTGTTGCCATATTCCGGAATGCTTGATTACTTGACGTAGCAATAACACATGATCAACTAAAGCATCATATGATATTTCAAACATCTGGCCATCACTTGTTTGAATCTTCGCTTCAATATACGATATTGGAGAGGAATATGAGTTCCCCATCTCTTATCAATATTGTTGTTGAACAGATTGTACTATTTGAGCGCAGAATAGTTCAATATCTATAGAGAAATAAAATAGCAAGCATTGTTGTGAAGCCTTTTTTGTGCAAAACTTAAAATCAGATAAGATTACTCACACCCACTAATTCTAATAAGTATCTGGACTAACAATATGAGAGAAAGAAAAATATTTAAAGCTCACGTTCTTATGTCGCCAAACCCTATTATCAACAGAATGCCTCTTGTTTGTTACTTGCTTGTAGAGGTGTAAGCCGGTAGGGTCATCGGCGGCGGCGCCAAGTTTTAAAATTTTTTTTGAAATGCTCGGCGGCGCGGCTGTAAAATTCTAAGGTTGCCAGCTGGCGGCGGCTCGAAAATTTTAAAATTTCGAATGCCATCGGCGGCGCAGCGGCTGTAACGAAAGTGCTTCAGCGGCGCGGCGGCTTGAAGTTCAAAAAACTATTATATTATTACGAGAGAATAGAACTTGTTCATATCAATATTCAATCCTTTATATTTTAAAATAAACATTTGTAAAAACTTCATTTTACATCTCAATATAATTAAGTACATAACTAATATAAAGCTGAACAATAAATAAAAATATAAAAGTTCATCAAAAATGTGCAAAAAAATTAATAAAATCTTAAGTATCGGCTGGCGCCGGCTCGAAAATTTTAAAATTTCGAATGCCATCGGCGGCGCGGCGGCTTAATTTTTAAAAATTTATGCAGGCACGGCTGGCGGCGGCTTTAAATTTTTATAGTTCATCGGCGGCGACGGCGGCTAAGCCGCACGGCTTACACCTCTACTTGCTTGCCCATTTACACAGTATAGTTGAGAAATGAAAGTATGTTGCTTATCAATATTTTTTCCTACGCTTTTTAATGGCAGTCTGTAAAAAGACCGAAAGAAAAAATGTCGACGCCATAAACGTCGAAAAATGAATGTCGAAACAAAAACATCGAAAGAAAAAATATCGAAAAATAAATGCTGAAAAAAAGATGTCGAAGGTAAAAAAAGCCGATGGAAAAAATGTCGAAGTAAAACAGCGTCGAAAGAATAAGATTTAGTGTGGGTGTAGGTGAGGAGTGAGTGCGGGTAAGGGTGTAAGAGAAGAACAACACCCACACCCACACTAATAACGCCAATGTGAATAGTGCAAACATTATGAGTTCGCTTTTTGTAGAGCAAAACAATGTTCATGAGAGAGTAATATGGACACTTATATACGAGTTTCGCACAGAAGTCTTATATAAATGTACATTCTTACCTTTCATAGACAAATATTCTACAGCAACATATAAATTGTTTTTATTCTTTCCCATGAAGTTCTTACCTTAGCTGCTACCTTACTCAAATATTTGGCATAACAATAAATACCCATAGAAAATCTTCTGTTGCTTTTCTTATTGACATAAGATAACACTCACCTTTCTCCAACTTATTTTTCGATGAATAATGTATGTAGATGAAGTAAGCGAGGATGTGGGCAAAATGAATACGATACACTCACATCCACGCCCCAAATCAGTTAAAACATAATTCTTAGTTGTTATTAAACCTAACATACATAGTTATTCTTGGCAGCATAACGGAAAAATATTGAGAATATTTTTTAAATATTTAAATAACAAAAAATGATTTCTTTATGTCTTTTTTATGTGTGATAATTAGTCAAAATATTATGAAATGTGCGTTATTATTATCATACTACTTTTCATTCACATATTAAAAAAGTAAATAAGATATGATTTAAAGTTCTTTACGAATATTCAGTTATAGATAAATTCTTAGACGAGGTTTTCGTGGCACCACTATGTCAACTATTCGTTGTTGACCTTCTATTGACAAGTAATTATCTCTCAGTATTAACGCTACCAATTGCAGATTCTTAATAATCATTTGAATGATTTGATCAACACTTTTGTCTGTGATTCGATTTTTAGCGAGATCTAGAAATGTAAGAGTTCTATTATTAGTTTCCATTACGCTGCAGATAGCTTGCACACCAACATCAGTAATTTCGTTATGAGACAGATGAAGCCATTTGGTTTTAGTATTTACTTTTAATAGTTTGGATAAGTGATAGGCACTTGCTGCATTTCGATTAGTATTTTGTAAACTAAGAATGCTAATAGTTGAATTTGTTTTTAGTTGCTTTACAAGAGATTTTACATGATCAGTTGTCACTTCTTGAGGTTTTGCATTGTACCAAACACTTTTATTCATGTGAATTGAACCAAAAGTTTCGATTGCTAGATAATCGTTGTCATTTTCATCTTCGGTAAAATTATTCATTTAAGTAAACTCCAAATTTTTCTTCTAAACAAATAAATATATGAAAGGATTTTTGAGTATTGATTTCACTTGGTGTCTTTTTTCATAGCGAAAATTATTTCTTTCAAATAAATTTTCTTTTAAAAAAATATTGGTTAATAAAAGATAAAAAGTATAAGCGGAATAACGAAGAAAACTAGATAAAAATGCACAAACTATTGTTTGTGAGATCTTAACTAAGTAAGTCGGAACATGCGTTGCATTGTACAGAAAGAGAGTGTGCGTCGAGATATGAAGAGATGATGGTACTTATAGATTCAACCTCATCTAAATACAATGGAGGATAAACATCAATTATGAAATGACGATTTACCAAAACAATTGTCAAAATAATTGAACAAAAAAAACTGGCTATTAATTGCCGATATCTCAAGGCTTTTAATGAAAACCGATGCCCTATCTGAGATTTTGTGTCGATAAATGTGTTTTTTATGTAGCTCACCTGAATCTGACTGAAAGTTGAATGATGTAAGAGCATATACTCCAAATACTTTAGATAAGAGTATGTTGTGGTAATAAACAACAAAATAATACTCATTTTTCTTTTTCTCTTCTCGTATGCAGAATATCATGTCTTATATTTCGACTCATATTTATAGTGAGAAGAATGATATATTCATTCTTATATTGATTGATCTGCCAGGCCCACACACATGTACAATGTGATCTTTGGAATATCTCTAGGCAAAGATTTTAATTAAATGTTTGAAACAATCTCAATACAACAAGCAATATAACAATATAATCGCTTTTACTTGTACTACCCTAGTAGGCTTGCGAATGGGTGTGGATGTGGGGAAGATACGAATATTCTTTCAATTCACATCCTAACTGAGCCCCTATGTTACATCTTTGTGAAAAATAGGTTACATTTGCACTATAGAAAGTTTTTTTAAAGAACAACAAAATATTATGTACACGATGTGGATGAGTGTGCGTGTAAGAGAAGAAATATTTTTATCAATGTTTATTTCAAAAAATTGTTTCGTTAATATTATTTTTGAAATAGTTATTCTAATGATTAATAAAATCAACAACTATGTGTTCCCAATTACAGATCATCAAAAAAATTTCACTTTTTTTGTAATTTACATTAAAAGAGGATCACTCTCGTTCATTATTGGTATAATATCATCATCAGTAGTTGTTTTTTGTGCTACCGATTTCGTGTTCATATTCGTTCGATTTGCTAGTGTTCGAAGATATTCAGCTTCATTTGAACCAGTTTGTTGCACCAATGAAGTAAAATAAGAATTTGAATTAGCTAATAATGAGGATGGTGTATCAAATTCTACTACTTCTCCATTACTCAACACCTTTAATAGACAAATAACATATTATTAAAAATAAAATGTATTCCTTTATCAGTTTACCAAAATTCGATCACTATCAATGACTGTTCTTAGACGATGTGCTATTGTTAATACAGTACATTCTTTGAATTTATCTCGAATAGCTTGTTGAATTAATTCATCTGTACTAAAATTTAATTGGAACAAAAAAAATCAATTTTGTTTAAAAACTTCCCGTGTTTACATACGCATTATCAACATTAGCTGTTGCTTCATCAATGACAAGAATTTTAGTTTGTTTTAAAATTGCTCTTGCTAAACATATTAATTGTTTTTGTCCAACACTTAGATTACAACCATTTTCACTAACTAATGAATCTAATCCATTTGACATAGTATCATTTACTAACGTCTTTAATTGTACCTATATTTCAATAATAATTATATATAGAAAAAAAATGAATGACATACTTGATCTAATGCATTCCATATTTGTTGATCCGTATAATTATTAAATTGATCAAGATTATTTCTAATTGTACCTGTAAAAAGAACTGGATCTTGTGGAATAATAGATATTCGACTTCGAAGATCATCTAATGGTATTGTTGATATATCAATATTATCAATTTCGATTTGACCATTAACAAGTATACCCATACGAAAAAGTACTTGAATTAAAGAACTTTTTCCCGCACCAGTTCTTCCTACTATACCTATTTTTTCTTCACTTTGAATTGTTAATGTTATATTATGTAAAACAAGTGATGTCTTATCATCATTTGAATATGACATCGATACATTTCGAAATACAATTTGACCATGTGATGGCCAATTATTTGATAGTCGATTGTTTAATGAAAGTTGTACAGTTGGTTCCTGTTCAAGTGAACAATATTCTAAGATTCGTTCAACAGCTGTCATATGAGTTTCAACTCTGACTGATTGGCTAAATATTTAAAAGTAAAATATTTTAATTAATTTCTTTATTAAGAATTAAACCTAATTGTCCATTGAAAAAGTCCCATTAAATTAAGACTATAAGATAGAGTAAGTGCAATATCAGCAGTTGATAATTCTTGTTTATAAATGCGTACAAGCATAGAACATAATGTAACAAGACCGAGAAATATAAATGAGATCCAATCAAAACGTATGGCCGACCATCTTTCAACAACTGAAGTCAAATAATAAGCTCGAATATTTTGATCAAGATACGAAAGAAATTGTTGTGAACACATTTGTTCAGCATGATATGATCGAATAACTTTTAATCCATGAATTGTTGAAGATAAATATGAATACAATGGACTTCGTGTTGTTTCTGTAATTCGTCTTAGATCACGAAAACATCGAGCAAAACGATAACGTACAATTAACATTCCAATAATTCCTATAAAAGCTGGAATAAAAGCCCATGGATTAAGTAATCCAATTAAAATAACTGTTCCTAATACTGAACTTAAACTCTATAATGAAATAAAATCATTATCATGTATCTAATTTTATAAACAAATTCATTTACATTCAAAAAATCTGGAACATCCAGAACTATATCAGTATCCATAATAAGAACATCTCTAGTAAAATGATTTATAATTCGACCTAAATTAACATAAAACACATCTATATAAAACTTTGACTATACTTAATTAAAGCATACCAATAGGATTTGTATCAAAAAATGCTATAGGACAACGAATAACGCGTCGAAACATTCTACAATTTTTAATCAGAAGAGATAACCAAATGATAATGCTTACTTATTATGAAGTACTCGTCCAGCATTTAAACACATTAATTCTAATGCAAAAGTACGCAAAAAAGTTAATATTAATAGTAGCATAACAATTCCTAGAAATAATTGTTTTCATTTTTTTCACTCTTATTTTTCAATAAACTTACTACAATAACTATAAAATTTTTGATTACGATATATATACCATTCATTATTACTCATCGAATATAAATGACTTCTATTTTCAATAGTAGTTGATATACATTGATTAAAATTTCTATATCGATGACTTTCATCATCACTCCATGTTGCTATCCACCAACTACTATATATAAATGTTGTTTGATATGCAGTTAAAAGTAATAAAATAAAGAAAAAACCGAAAATACAACCAAGACCCGCTTTTATATATGAAGTATAAACAGTCCATTTAATTGCATCTTGTTGTTTCGTATCAATATTACTCATAACTTCATCTTTATCCTCTTTTTCAGAATAAGTTGAACTAATTATGGATTGTTGTTGTTGAATATTCGCTGCATTTTGTTGTTGTTCTTGTTGATTAATATCTTCCAATAAATGAGCAAACGAAGATGATGAAGAAATTAATTCATTGTAGGTGCCCATTTGTATCATTTTACCCTAATAAATTCGAATAATAATATCAAGATATAGTTTAGTATTTACTTGATCGAGAACAATAATTTTAGTTGCATCTTGTAAAAATTGTATTTGATGAGTGACTAAAATGCATATTTTATCGCAAAGATAATCCTTGATTGATCTATAAAAAAGATGTTTAGATACTTTAACATCAACAGCAGATAGAGGATCATCTAATAGATAAATATCAGCATTGCGATAAAGTGCTCGTGCCATATCCACTCGTGCTTTTTGACCCTAAATAATATATATATGTAAGATATTAGTAGTTTTTTTTTGTATTTTTCATACGCCAGATAACATAACACCTTGATCACCAACAAGAGTATTAACACCTTGAGATAGTTGCTCCAAATCCTATAATACATAGTTACGTTAGATGTCATTATTGAATCTCACATACGATGTCAAGTGCTGTGGCTTCTATAACACGTTGAAATAATTTATGATTATATTCTTTACCAAAAAGAATATTATTTTTTATTGTTGATGAAAAGATCCCTGATAAAAGAAAATAGAACAATAAAATATAATTTTATATTAATTAAAATATTTACAAGCTTCCTGTGGTACATAACAAAATGATCCATGTAATCGAACTTTTCCTTCGAAAAACCCAATTTCACCTGTTAATGTTTGTAAAAGTGAACTTTAAATCAATAGCATGTATGTATACTTATAATATTCAAAAGTAAAAATACAGACTTTGCCTGATCCAACTGCTCCAATAATACAGATTAAATCACCTGGATGAGCATCAAAAACAATATTTTGTAATTTAAATACTCCATTCTGAATAATAAATAAATAAATAAATTTGATTATTTTATAAATATAATAATTACTTTTTCTCATTGTGCTTCTTTCAAATCACATATAACTTGCACCTCTTGTGTAATATTATTAATTATTTCTATTTCATTCGATGATGATAATAATCGAATATCTCGTTCACATTCGTCAAGTAATAAAAAAACTTCAATTCGTTTTCTAGCAACTAAATAATTTGAAATATCACGAATAGCATATGAAAAGTAATTAATACAATATATTCTCATAAAACCCAATAAACAAGAAGATATAGCAAAAAAACGTGTATCCAATCTTATATCTAATGACCACATTGTTCCATACATCATTAGAAAAATTAACGTAGTATAATTATTTGAAAATATATCTTGAATACACTTGCATATAGCATAGAAAGTATATTGAATAATTTCTCGTCTAAATATAATTTGATTTCAAATAAAAAAAGTAAATAATATTTTATAATTTAATTTACTTTCTTATGACACAAATTTTTTGAATAAATGCTCTTTCCCAACAATACATTTTTACAATACGCATTGATTTAATTATTTCAGACATTATTTTTAAACGTTCATCAGTTATTTGAAGAATTCTTGTGCTAAAAATCATCATTATCATCATTAGGAGCACAATAAAACTAATAACATACCGTATAGAAACAAACATACGACTGTATAATGGTTGAATAAGTAGTAGAAAAACAGTATATCCAATAGCAATGAAAGCAATATATTTAACAAAATACCAGAATACAAAAATGACAAGAATGACTTGTATAGGTGCAAACTGCAAGTGTAAATATAATATTATTGAAGAAAAGAGCGTGAATCTTACCAACATATCATTGAAGAAAATTGCTACACGTTGAATTTGATTTGCATCATTCACTAATAAATTAGTAATTTCTCCCGAAGTAATACTATTCATTGAATAGAGTGATAATCGAAGAACCTTTTAATAAAAATTTCTAATTTCTTCAATCATTTCATATTTTACTTACTTTACGATAAATTAAACCTGTATAAGCGATAAAGATTTGCATAGCATATATATCAATTTTATAAATATACTTTAAAAATAAAAAACAAAATAAGATATCGTTTTGAAGAACAAACTGAAAATACCTCATTATTAATAAGACTTGAGCTTAATGCAGCAACAATTGTTGCCATAGCAAGAAGCCAAGCTTGCCATGAAGGCATCGAAGAACACGGTTCAAAGAAACGCATGAGTACTGTTACGATCAATGGTTGAATAATTTGAAGTAATCCCTGATAAAATTTTTTTAATTGAATTAAATGTATAGTTTGATCTTTCACTTACATTTAAAAATGCAAGAATACCATAAGCAAATGGTTTCCAGCCTACTGTACGTAGTGTTACTCGTATAAGACTTGGATTATTTGGATATCGTTTTACTTCATCAAACCAATTTTGTTCAAGTTTATCAGTAAGTTCTGTTGAATGAAGATGAGCTGGTAGATCATAAAGATCATTTAAATGTAATACACCATTTTTATGACTTTTTTTTAATAAAGGAGTTACCCAACTATGAAAAAATCGAGAGAAAATATTAGCATGTAAAATAGGATTGGAATCGTATGATGATGATGACATCTATATAAAAAGAAAAATAACATATACTTTTGTATTCTATGTGGTATCGAATTAAAACAATATTTCACAAGTACAAGTAGTATTTATAAATATTGGTTCGATGACATAGTAATTGCGTCAGTCCCTGTATTCTTATCAAAAAATCAATATTACAAAAAAATATTTCGAAATTTTAATCCTCAATAATAAATCAAAATAGAAACATCGGGGACTTTTATTTTAATATATTATGATCGTTAACTATCGGTTGCCGTCCTCATTTTATAACTTAAACAGTGTCCTGGGGTTCGCGCGGAGCCACCTCGTAAAAATTACAGAAAATGATGATTTTGCTTAACGTAAGGTACCTCTTTTCTCTACAGACTTATTTATCGCTCGTTATAGAGTCAATATAAGAACGCACGATGCGAAGAAAAAAACTGACTCATACTAGTTTTTATCAATTACCTGTGCAAGCTAATCAGAACGTATTTAATTTGAAAATAAATCAATATGCAATAGATGGCAGTTATAAAAAAGCCAAAAATCATATCTAAATCATCATTAGTGTCCTGGAGTCCGCGTGGACCCTAAAACAGTAACCGAAGGTTAATAAACGTATATATAAATTGTACTAGAACAAATAATAACTTATATAATACATTTTTATATTGATTTTATTAGGCATAACAAATAAAACATGAATTTATGATATCTTATATTCATCACTGTAGTAGATATGTATTGATTTTAAATATTTTTCGAGTGCTGCTAAATCTTCTTGTATTTCAGTAAATTCACCTTCTTCTAGCCCTTCACTAACACCCAGTGCTTCTCGTATCATAACACTAATCGTTATAAGAAAAAACAATATGCTTATCACTTTCGGTAAATCTTAGGATCTACTACCTTTATTTAATAATTTATATGCATTGAGCCTAATTGGTCGAGCCATTCCTGAGTTATTGCAAAAATACTGATATTTTTCAATGATTTCCATACACACTTTTGTAGTACACATAACTCACAGATAAAATCCGAGGTTTCCGCGTTTATTATGTTATTATAATCATGTAACTAATATATAGATGAACATCAAATCGACATTTGACAACATCTTTTATACCACTAATACTTCTTCGATCAATTTGGAAACTAGTAATACAGCATTATATATTTAAAACAGGATAAACTTGAAGCACTTCTCTTTATATTTATTAATATTCTTAAAGTACGATTATAACAAAAAGTAAAGAAAAGTCTTTAGTTTCATCATTAATTAATATAAACTTTTTTTTTATGAGTCTTTCCTTTATTGTTGGTATTGTTCATCGATTAATAAATAAGTATCCATTAGACTGCGAGACGTTTTAAAATTATTCTTTTCTCTTTTTTTTAACTTGATTTTTAATGTATTGCAATCGAAAAGATTCTTTTAAACTACTATAGAATATGTGTATGACAAGTGTTAGTATTATTCATTTGAAATATACTTCATTACTTTTATGATGAATTTTTCAACAAGTGAAATAAGTAGTAATCGAACAGATTATAGTATTATTGCTCCTATATCGATGATTTTTTCTGGAACTTCAATTATTATCACTTCATTTATATTAATTATTGTTCTATTAAAAAAACAATTACATACCGTTACTCGTTTATTAATTTGTAATACATGTTTAGCATCATTATTATATTGTATTGTTCAATGTATAAATTATATTTATCTTTTATTAATAAAATCTGATAAAAGCAATCAATCATGTCGATGGCGTGGTTATTTTGGATATATGTCTATAGTTGCTTTTATTTATTCTTATGTATTACAAGTTATATCACGATTATTTTTTATTGTTTTCTATACGAAATATCGATGGTTAATAACATATAGAATACATTCATATTTGATTATTTTTGGATGGACAATTATTTTTATTCTTCCATTACCAGCAATTTTAACAAATAATATCTATTTTCGTGAAGGTGAACTTTGTTGGGTAACAAAAGAATATACATTACATTCTTTTTATATTATTATTGCAGATTATCTAATACCAATTCTATTAATTATTATTATGAATATTATTATATTTATTCGAATTTATTTAAGTAGAATAAATACGACAATACAATATAATAGAAGAAGAAAAGAACGTGATTTTAGATTATTTTATAATATAATGATATCATTCAGTGTCTATTTTCTTGGAGGAGTGCCAATTATGATCTACATGTTTACAGATATTGAATTTTTCTATTCTATAGGTGTTATTTCTGTAACATTTGCTGTAACAATGGAAAAATTAGTTTTAATATATCTTGATCGTGAAATTCGAAATCTTTTAAAAGATTATTTTTATCAAAATAACATTAAAGTTACGCCAATAATAATATTCAATGCTGCTCCTATTATTCAATAATTAAACTTAACAAATTATCGTATTTATTCATCTTCTAAGAGTTAACTTATATACACAACTTTTTTTTCTGTTTATAATTATTTTAAGTAAAACTTTGATAATAGATTCCTCTTTTCAATCAGTATCAGCGCCTATGAATTACTTTTTGATATGTCATGTTTTTTTTGTTGTGTTACTATGTCTCAAATAGAAATTCTTTTTATTAACATTCGAACAATATGTTGACAGAGTGTACACAATAGAATATTCTAATCAATTCGAAATTAATTTATTCTTCTTTTGTTTTGCGTTGTTACATGTAAGCCACTAGTGAAACCTTTTATACACTTTCAATCATATATAGAATACAAAAATGAGTTCACATTGTGATTTATTTTATCAAAAATAAGAAACAGAAGAGATGAAAACAAATTCTATATCTATCGTGAAAGTTACTCGTCAACGAATTAAACAAACTAAAGTAAATTAGTTTAATTCTTTAATATATATTATTTGATGTATTATTTAGAATAATCAACATTGGAAGATTAAAAAAACATCTAGAAAAGTAGTTCATGTAACTGCTGGATTATCACATCAAAACACTTCGCGTTCTGTATGTGCTATGACATATATTTTTAATGATTTTGAATATCGCTTTCATAGGTATTAAACAGTACAATTGATAATTTACAGAATGATAAATCATTTCAAAGTATAGTAAATAATAATAATTCTATTGCATTAAACCAACACCAAGATGACAAACCTGTTTCACTCAATTTATCAAAAGTCAAAGATGCATGGGCAAATCCAATGGATTATCATAATAAACGTTCCAACCAAAATCTAAATAACAAGAAAAAGAAAACGTGAGTGACATTCATTTCCTCACGAGATCATTCCAGTTTTTTATTCCAATTTACTATAGATACACAAGATCATGTCTGATCTGGTTATTACTCGTTCTTGTACTTTTGATTATAATAGGTTTAATTGTTCTCATCGTTTTTTTGACAAAACCGAAGACATCAACAACAACAAACAGTAAGATATTACTCATACCAAATAAGATATTGAATTTATCGTCCTTTTTCTACAGTTGCTAATCCTGTTCTTCGTTGGAATGCAAGTGGAATTACGGTCGCCGGTGTAACGGGTATGAGTGGAATTAATGCAAGTCAACTGAACAATCCATGGGGACTAGCATTGACTTACGATGGCACACTCTATGTTACTGATTGTTATAATAATCGTGTCCAACAATTTGTATCAGGTTCTACAGTAGGAACAACTGTAGCTGGTGATTCCAATGGAATGTTCAGTAATATGCTCAATTCTTTATTTCTTCCTTCTAAAATTGTACTTGATTCAAATGAGAATCTGTATATAGCAGATGGATTTAATAATCGAGGACTCTATTGGACTAAAGGTTCAAATTCGGGAGTTCTTATTGCTGGCACAGGTGCTCCTGGTAGTGCACTTGATCAATTAAATTATACATATGATATTGCTCGTAATTGGAATTCGGATATCACTTATGTTGCAGATTACCAAAATAATCGTGTTATGGGCTATAGACCTGGCAATATTACAGGCTTTGTTGTTGCTGGTAATAATGGTGCAGGAGGAAATTATACCCAGTTAAATGGTCCTATAGCGATTTACTTCGATTCATTAACCAATAGTATTTTAATTGCGAATTTTAATCGTCATAATATTGTTCGTTGGACATTAGGTGCAAATAATTGGACTCTTGTAGTTGGTAGTATCAATGGATTACCTGGTAGTACATCAACATTACTTTTTGCTCCTACAGGTTTAACTCTCGATCCAATGGGTAATTTATATGTTGCCGATTTGGCAAATCATCGAATTCAATTATTTCTCAATGGTGAAATGAATGCTACAACAATTGCGGGTAAAACTGGGCAATTAGGAAATGATAGTATGTCACTCAATCAACCATACACAATCGCATTAGACAATCAATTAAATCTCTATGTGGCAGATAATCAAAATCATCGGATTCAAAAATTTTTACGTTATTAAAAATAATTTTATTACTAAATAGAAAGAATTTTTATTATTAATGATCGAGTTGTATTGAGATAATTTATTAAATTTGAATTACAATTATCTTGAGCACAAAAACATATTTGTTAAATATACTTTTTATTACTCCAATTAATTGTTTCATAATAATTCACATAAAAATAGGATGAACTTTGATTATAATAATAAATATTTTTAATATTTCCAATTAAACTCGATCGATAACCATCTTTCGGTAATGTTATCGATAAAGTATCATTACCTTGAAGTATAGTGATGCATTAAACTGAGGGTGCGGTGTGCATGTGGGTTTAGAAATTGCTTCAGTGCAGATGTACACTCACCCACACCCACACACTCGAGAGGTAATTCATCGTCATCTATAATGACATTACAAGATTGGTATGAATATGATGAAGTACTTCGTTTTCGACAATTAACACTTAAACGTGAAGAATGTGATTTAGCACAAGATTTAGAAAAACTTGATCGTGAAAGAAATGTTCATATAAGAGAATTAAAACGTCTATATAATGAAGATCATTCAAGATTTAATAAAAATAATGTACTAAATGAACGATATTTACTATTAACACTTATTGGTAAAGGTGGTTTTAGTGAAGTTCATCGTGCATTTGATTTACGTGAACAACGTTATGTTGCTTGTAAAATTCATCAATTAAATAAAGAATGGAAAGATGAGAAAAAAGTGAATCATATTAAACATGCACTTAGAGAATATAATATACATAAACATTTAGAACATAAACGTAAGTTTTGTTTCTCTATATGTATATTGTAATAAAAATAATATTTTTGTTTAGGTATCGTTAAATTATTTGATGTATTTGAAATTGATACGAATTCATTTTGTACAGTTTTGGAATATTGTGATGGAAATGATTTAGATTTTTTTCTTAAACAAAATAAAACGATTCCAGAAAAAGAAGCACGTTCAATCATAATGCAAACAGTTAATGCATTAAAATATCTTAATTCAGAAACTAAACCACCTGTGGTCTGTTATTATTTATTATTCAAAATAGGACGAAAAATAATTAATTATTTCTTTTTAAATTTAGATTCATTATGATTTAAAACCAGGTAATGTTCTTTTGGGAACAAGAAATAATAGTGGTGAAATAAAAATAACTGATTTTGGCTTATCTAAACAAATGCATGAAGATGCGTTTGATGCCGATGATGGAATGGATCTTACATCTCAAGGTAAAAAAAATCAATAAATAAATAAATAATATGTTTATTTTTCTTATAGGTGCCGGTACTTATTGGTATTTACCACCAGAAGTCTTTGTTCAAGGACCTAATCCTCCTAAGATTTCATCTAAAGTAGATGTTTGGAGTGTCGGCTGTAAGTTTTAATTTTATAATTTATTCACAATTAATTGATTTGTTATTCGTTTAAGGTATTTTTTATCAATGCTTATATGGTCGAAAACCATACGGTCATAATTTATCTCAAGCAGCTATATTAGAAAATCAAACTATATTAAATGCCAAAGACGTTCAATTTCCAAATCGACCTCAAGTATCAAATGAAGCGAAATTATTCATTCGTCGATGTCTAACTTATCAAGCACGTGATCGTCCCGATGTTTTACAATTGAGTGAAGATGAATATTTGAAATCTTATCCAAAACGTACTACAGCTACAACATCTTCACTTCTTTTCTGTCCTAAATAACTATGTAAATTAGCTTCTGTCTTTTACTCTTTCTTTCTCTATTATTTCTACTAGTAAACCAACGGTAAATGACGGTATTTTCTTCTTTCACTCTCTTGTGAAATAAAAAAAAACAACCTGTGTACGAGAATAAAAAAAGAAAATGAAATGATCTAAAAAAAAATATGCTAACTATATGCATAGTACGAAAAGAACTTTTCAATTTATTAGTAGTGTATCAGACGCTCGTGTTCAGAAATATTGATGTGAAACATTATTTATTGTTTGGAAACCAGATATCTTTAGGTACATTAATAAAACATGAAAATGATATTTACATTGCTTATTTAACATTAGCGTATATCCTTTTAATTCAAGAAAAATAGAAATATTAATAATTTTTATAGGTATGATATGTGATTTACAAGTTCTTTCATTTTTTAAAGACAATTGTTGATCATGTTAAAACAGTATTCTGCTCTTATAGAAACATGTACTGTTTGACCTATTGCTTATTTTGTGTATTTTAATAAAATTCATAAGGAGAAATTTTTATTAAGGGTAAAATTGTTGCTGATGGTTATTTTGGTGAAGCAGCCAAAAAAGATTAATGATACAAGGTATTTTTGACACTTAAAATTATCGGTTAGTTATTATTTATTATATTTTACTTTGAAAAAATTAACTTTCAAAATAATTTTGATCGAAAGAAAGATTTAGTTTAATTACATGATGAAGAATATGTTTTATTGAGGGTGGACGTGAGTGTGCATGCGGGTGTGTTTGATCAGATCAATCTCATATTTACACCTACACCCACACCTTCTCTACGAACTTTATATTTCATATAAAAACCTAACATTATTTGATGAAATATAATTAAATAAAGATATAGTAAGGTAAACAAGTTCATCAATCATTTATTTTTATTCTGAAAAAACAATACAGTGAAGCTTTCGACACCTTTCATAGGGTCATTTTCAACACTATTTTATGAAAGAAAATTTTTACATATATATATGAAGTAACAATTATTTTTCTTTTTCTATTCTTTTCTAGTATTTTCTTAAACATTGCACTACGATGACGTCATTTCTCCCCTTCGTAGTGCAATGTTTAAGAAAATACTAGAAAAGAATAGAAAAAGAAAAATAATTGTTACTTCATATATATATGTAAAAATTTCTTTCATAAAATAGTGTTGAAAATGACCCTATGAAAGGTGTCGAAAGCTTCACTGTATTGTTTTTTCAGAATAAAAATAAATGATTGATGAACTTGTTTACCTTACTATATAAAAACCTAAGTGTACGGTTAATTTTGTCGTTAGTAGTTTTCATTATTATTTTTCAAAATATGACTTGAAAATGAAGCGTCTGAAAACATGGATTTTTTTTTAACAATGAACATTGGGAATAAAGTAGTTTGTCATTGTAGAAATCGTCAACTAACCAAAATTTTTCGTCCATTTAACCAAGCATTTTTTTCATTCTTCTTCGTGTACATTATTTTGTGTTTATTTTCTTTTTACTTTGTTACTTATAATATCAATTTGTTTGACAGATATATACTATTGATTACAAATATAGTCAAAGTGAATAGAATACTGATTCGCACTCTCGCTCGTCTCTTTTTACTTTCAATAATATAAACTCTATTTTCTTTTTCATTTATTTAGTCAGAAATAAATAGTCATTTTTCTACAATATGTCTTGTTTCTTTGTCGAGACTATCATTCGTTTTATAAAATTATGCACACAATAAGAACATAAAATATATCTACTTTCAAAAATGCAACAATTAACCTGATCAAACTATTTGACAAAAGGAGTGTGCACGGAAAAAATTGATTTGTTTAAACATATTATTAAGTTACTCATCTGTGATATTCACTTGAGAACGATTATCCATACGTTATCATCACACGTTGAACTCGCTGTCATCCGAATACATGTGGTTAGTAACAAGGACTGGTTAATATTCTTTACATCTGCATTATATCCACTCATATTTTATAAGTAACGATCGCTCTTTTTCAACAATCACCATACAATATCACTTCAAGGTATTATTCCAATTCATATATTATTTGGCGAAGGATAATTTATTAAGAAATGTGAACGATTAAATAGCTTGATTAAATATAAAAAGAATTATGATTCAGTTCACAAAAAAAATGTCATTTTGTCTATATCGATTAATAAAGCTCAGCACTATCGAGATTAACACTACCGGTGCCCACTCCACCACTAACTAATACTTTTCCATTTGCTAATGTGGATGCTATGTGCCAAGCTCGTGCGATACTCATGCTTCGTGTGGCCGTCCAAGTGCCTGTTGATGGATTGTACAATTCAGCACTATTGAGGTAACTACCAATTCCAGACTGTCCACCAGCAACTAATACTAATCCATTTGCTAATGTGGACGCTGTGTGAATATGTCGTATGACACTCATGCTTCCTGTTATTGTCCATTTGCCTGTTGATGGATTGTATAATTGAGCACTATTGAGAGAAATACTATCGTTGCGACCACCAGCAACTAATACATATCCATTTGCTAATGTGGATACTGTGTGACTACTTCGTCTGGTACCCATGTTTTCTGCCATTGCCCATTCTAAATAAGATAGAAAAGTGAGAAAATTGTTGTTCTTAAAATGACTACGAATTTCTCATGTACATAAGTCATCTAACTATTGGTCACATATTAAATGATTTCAAATCTTCGACAAACTTCTTTGTTTTCATGGTTAAGATAAAATTCATTATGAAATGGAGGGGTCCACAAGAAATTAAAGCTATCTTGGAGCACTTTTACACTATTTCATTACGCTTTTCAGCACTTTATTACTAGTATTTATTTTGATTGCTTAACACCTTCAACTCCTTTAATTCCCTTAGCTCCTTTAACTCGCTTAACTCCTTTACCTCCCTTTACTACCTTAGCTCCATTTGCTCCTTTAGCTGCTTTACTCCTTCAACACTCTTTACTGCTTTAACTTTTTTTGCTTCTTTGTCTTCTGCTACTCGGTTAACGGATTGTACTATCTTGTTTGTCATCTGTCTTTTGGTTATTGGAAAAGAAACTTTAAGAAGCTAAAGCACAATGGACGGGAGATCCGAATAAAAAGAATGATTTGTTCATCTGTACCATACAGAGGAACCCAGACAGACAAAATCTCTAAAGAAAACGGGTAAAAAGCTTTTAAATTTTGTAAATACGTCCTTTTTACGCACCAGAAACGTAAAAACGCGTTTTCTACGAAATCTTGACGCGTTTCTACAGAATTTTTTGAAAAGCGTTTTACTGTGTTCAAATTTACTGCGTAGTTACTTGTTGAAACGCGGAGTTCAACGTGGTTGTACACGTTATTTTGTGAGTTTTAACGCATTAAGCACAGATTGTCGACGCGTTTATCACAGTAGACAAAGCTAACGGAGATAAAAATCGTAAAAATGTGCGCTGTTCCGGATTTTATTTTCGTTAAAATTTCAAAGTTTCTACGTGTATTTGTCCCGCTTTTTTTGAGTTTTGTCTGTGTAAGAAGCAGTTCCATACATTCTCTTACTGGTTTATCTATTTTTTTGATTTTCTTGAATTTACAAAAATTATTCGATTAATCATGAAATGAAATAAAAATAAACGCATATGTGAAAAAAGAAGATGTGTGTTGTTTTGTAGAGGGAAGTTTTATCGTGAACGATTAATAATAAGGAGCGGTTACGTATTATTTTGATCGATGGACAAATGTATCAAGCTATATGTAACTTCTTCTATTCCTTTTCTTACTCTGGTGTTTTTAGTTTTATTGTCGTTCTAGATTATAGAAGATACACATTGTTAGGAAAAAGTAGATTATATACTTCAGTATACCAGTTCAGTTAAAGAATGAAGGATACTCACAGGTATTCAAGAGGTTCTCTGATTAAAGATAACGGAAAAGCAAGTAAATGAACTATGAAAAGCTTAAGAAATAATGGAAGTGAATGGGAAGGGGCGTTTAAAATTGTTAAAACGGCGAAGGGAGTTAAATGAGCTAAGGAAGTGAAGGGAGTTAAAGAAGTTAAAGGAGTAAAGGGAGCTAAGGGAGTTATGGGAGCTAGGGTGGGTATGGGTGTGGGTGTGGGTGTGGGTGTCGGTATTCTGTTTACCAACACCCATACCCACACCCTCAACTTTTCTGAGTGATGATGATTATCGACTTGAAGTCAAGGTGTAATGAGCATCCATTCATTCTGATCTCTCTTATGTTGGCCCTAATCATGCGAGTGAGAATCAAAATGCTGCGCAGTTTGTTTTTGTTAGGAGGAGAAGCTCAATACAATTCATCATCGAATTAGACGTTCTTATAATTATTATTCCCTTCGTGGAATTTACCGGGTTTAAAAAGCGTTAATTCAAAGCTCACCTGGCTGCAAAGTGGTGGA